CCTGTCTCCAGGTGCTTTGGAGAATACGTTGACCCCCTCTTCTTTGTGGCAGCCTCTTAGCTATTGGAACTCTGCTATCATATCACCCCTAATCCTTCTTTTCATTAAACTAGACATACCCAATTCCTGCAACCATTCTTTATATGTTTTAGCCTCCATTGCTATTCTCTGTACTCTTTCTAAGCATCAATACCATGGCGACCAAAACTGGATGCAGTAATTCAAGTGTGGTCTTACCAAGGTATTATAAAGTGGTATTAACAGTTTAGCACATAAAGCATTATCAATTAACACAGAAAGGACAAGATAGGAAATAGGGAAATTAAATGACTTACAGTTATAGGTTTGCAGTTACAGTTGTAGATTTCATATACAATGTGAATAAAAAGGGAGTGGCAGCTTCAAACCAGATATTTTTCACGTAAACAACCATTTATGCAAGCAAATAGGTCAACCTCATGAACTGCTTGAACATAGTGAAAAGTGAGGATGAAAGCAAACTAGATATCGTATCAAAACAAAACAAGACTTGGAGGAATTCCTCTGGACAAATGAAATTTCCCTCTTCTGCTTATGTCAGTTCTCCATTCTGTTCCTATTAATAACTAATATGTGACATGATATTGTAAGAGTTAATGTTGTGTCTCCCTACAGCACAGACTGGAAAGGAAGGTCAAATCAGGGTCGATAGTTTTTCTTAGGGGTTTTTTTTTTAATGAAACCAAGAACTATTGTAATCTCCACATCTGCTGCAGCTGCCATAATTGAGAAACCACTGAGGGTTTTCAAGTTCCATCTATTCACAAGGCATTCCTTTTGAGCCAGCTTTTCAATTAGCAGGTCCCCACTCTTCCTTGGAACAAGAGCAGGCCTTTCTTTTTCCTCTCTCTTGTGCAATAAAAACTCCAGACATTTCCATAGTTTACTAGAACGCAAAGGCAGAGTTGGGAAAATGCTAAATGTTTTTTAAGCGATTCCATATGGTACTCCAGAGTATGCAGGAGCTTAAAAACATGTTTCCAGTTCTCCCCCCAGTGTATAGTTATTCGCATAGACAAAGTAACTTCTAGCTATCTTCCCATAAAGATTAAACTGGCAGCAAACAAGAAATTTTCCCGCCAAGAGCCATAATATGGGCCAGAACAAAGGAACACCCAGCTGCCTGGTTCAACTCTACTCCAAGCATTTGTGCTCCAGGGAAATGAGAGGAATTTCATGAACCCATGGATTCTTCTGCAGGCTACTTATCTAGCACAATAGAAAAACACAGCTACTTTCTACCCTGCACATACTCCATGATAAGGGGCTGTAGAAATCTTGTGGGATAATGCAAATTAGAGAACTATGCAGAACCTGCTGAATTGACTCAGATTTTATCATTAAAAGCACTTAGCTTGCATTGTCCTTCCTCCTCTTCTTGCTTTTGGTATGGACCTAAAAGACCTAATGTTTTTTGGATTATGCAGTATAATAATAATAATAATAATAATAATAATAATAATAATAATAATAATAATAATAATAATAATAATAATAATAATAATAATAATAATAATAATAATAATAATAATAATAATAATGTTGGAAGGGACCTTGGAGGTCATCTAGTTCAACCCCCTGCTCAGGCAGGAAAGCCTATACCATTTCAGACAAATGGCTGTCCAGTCTGCTAGGTGCAGAGATTATTTCCCAGTTGATGTCAGGGTAATCAAAGTCCCCCATTATTATTGTGATGTGCTTTCTACATAATTAGTTAACTGACTAGCAAAAAGTTCATCTATTTCCTCTGTTTGGTTGGGTGGTCTATAGTATATACTTATGGCAATGTCATTCCCCCACTTTTATATTGACCCAAATGCATTCAAGACAGTTTTCATCATTGTTGTGCTCTATTTCTGTAGAGATGTAGTTATTTCTTATATAGTGAGCAACTCCACCTCCTCTTTTGTTTGGTCTGTTTCTTTTAAATAATTTGAATCTCTCTAGCTGTGTGTTCCATTTGTGGGTTTCATCCCACCAAGTTTTCGTAATGGCAACAATATCATATCTGGCCTCATTTACCTGAACATAAGATGAGAGCAAACCCCACTCCTCAGTAGCACTGATGATGTTACCTACCAGTAGTTTGGGTAATGAAAATGTCTGCAAGAAAACGGCCAAGGACCCCTCAAAATAAGTGTTGTTGGAAGTTGTTTCCTTCCAACAACTTTTCCTTCCAACAAGTTTCCTCTCTCTTTTTATTTCTTTTTTTTTCTTTTACACTTTTTCTTTCTTTTTTGTTTTAGTATGTATTATTTTTTGACCAAAAGACCATTTTGACTTTTTAATAAAAGTATGTATATGTATATGTATATGTATATGTATATGTATATGTATATGTATATGTATATGTATATGTATATGTATATGTATATGTATATGTATATGTATATGTATATAAAACTTTCTTCATGTTGCCAAAAAGTTTTCATCTCTTTGATCTACAACAGTGGTTCTCAACCTGTGGGTCGGGACCCCATTTGGGATCGATCGACCATTTCATGGGGGTCGCCAAGCAAGGCTGTCCACCATTTTTTTTGTCCGCCATTTTTTTTGTCCATTTTTCCCCCTTTTCCGGTGGGTGCCTTACCTCCCTTGAGCTGGGCCAGCTGGTGGTCGGCCTACTCCGTCTCTGCCGCTTGCCAGCTACGCCTCGGCCAGCGCAGGGGGCGGAACCACACATGCGTGGCGCTCCTGGGCAGGGAAAGTCCTCGGTTTACGACCAGTTGGGTAGTCCTCGACTTACGACCGGTTTAGTCCTCGACTTATGACCGGTTTAGTCCTTGACTTACGACCAGTTTAGTCCTTGACTCACGACCGGTTGGGGTCGCGGCATTAAAAAGGTTGAGAACCACTGATCTACAAGAAAAGAAATGTTGTGGTCATCTTGGGCTTGGGAGAGCCTGAGTAGCAGACACTGTTCCTGACTTTTCTGCCAGGAAGATCTGGAGAGAATCGCTCTGGAGGCTCCAGATGAACATCAGCCTAGCAGGAGATTAGCAATCAAGCACCTGAGGCTGACCAAGCCAGCAAACATAAAGGGCAGCTGGAGGCATGAGCTGAGGAGGCCACAGATCCAGGACCTCCTCCCACCCTTAGAATGTGTCGTGTTGAGGACTGAGCACCACAAATATGTTGTGTGAAGCTTCTTGCCTGTCAAGAGCATTCCCACTCTTGATTGCCTACACTCCGGGCAAGCTCTGTTTATGAACCATCGCTGTGCAACAGCCCTGAGGAATAAACACCAGGTGCTAGAGGATTAAAAAGAACTAGGCAGTCCAGCAGTCCTAGAATTTAAATATTATTAAGCTAGCTGTTTGGCTTGGATTATAAAATGGATTACAATCACCATGTGGTTGGATTTCTTCAAGTAGGGGAACAGGACTTGCATTAAAGGAGATTATGCAATAATAAATGTTTGGGATAAATGTTTGTCCCAAATATTTGGAATAAGTGCAGTAAAAGAATTTGTCCAGGCTTATTACCACTTGCCTTTTTATTATTTATTTTTATGGAAAGCAGAAAGAAATTTATTCAATGGTGAAACAAGATTTCTTAATTAATAAGAGAAAGGTAAAAATCTTCTGGCAGTTTTAAAAGAACTGCCAGAACAAAGAGATGTGACTGTATTTGATGTGACAATTTGAAAAGGTCATTGCACAAAATCTGAAGCATTTACTGGCCTTATTTGTAAACTGCTGGTGGAACCCTAAATAAATTATCAAAAGGATGGTCAAAAAGATGCAGAATTTAGATACAATAATAGGAATGCAAGGGAAAAGGAATATTAAATTCACACCAAATATTGTACTTAGAGAAAACTGGTAAAAGATGTTTTTACTATTGGCATATTACTCTAAAATGGAAACATCATTTTCTAAACATTGTTGGAAATGCAGTGATTAAGTTTGATTCTTCTTCCATATTGGGTGGCAAAACTCAACAGTTTTGAAAAAATATGCATAATAGAAGGAAGCAAATTTTGAATTTCCTTTTCAACTTGCTATTTTTTTGTTATTTTTAAATATTTTTCTGTTAAACATTTCCACAAAAAAAATATTAAACTAGCTCTGTGTTTGCTAATTGGTGCAAAGACACTTTACACTTCCCATGGAAAAGAACTCTTAATTCTTAATCCTGAAAAAAAACTAATTAAGATTTGGGGGTATTTATGTCTAAAATAGTCTGATGTTTTAAAAGAAAATGTGACTCAACTTGGTAACCAGTTTTGAACTTTAACTTCTCATGAGAAGGGAAGCTATATAAATTTGATTAATAAATAAATAGGTTTGTACTACATCCGATTTTATGTTATCTGTTAGCATAAAATCTATATTGCTTGAACAGAAATGATTGTAATTCATAATCTCACTTTATGATTTATAACGGGTTGACTATTGATTTGTTAATGATACATTACTTGGATTTTAACAAGATTGGTAGTTTTTAAAATGATGTAGTACATTTGGTTACTGAAACTAATTAATAAAATATTGAAAATTTAACCTAATTTTATGATACTTGTAAATTTCCGTCTATGTAGTTCATGCTTCAACAACTGATAATGTTAGTGCAATTATAGAAAAAAAGAGATTTTAGCAAAATGCTTGTCTTTAGTGATGATATAGTGAGAAATGATTGAAACCAAGAAATGATCGTTTTCTGACCTGCTCCATTTATCTAAATCCCCAAGTTTCATGTAAGAAACACTTTCATGAATGTATTTCTGCTATGAAGAATGCTTTTTGCTCTCTCAGATTCAAAAGCTATTAATTTGAGGTTGTGAGAGAAAATTCACACATCAAAAGTTTATTATTAATCAAATTGCCCTTGACTTGCTAAGTAAAAGTGAGCTAGTAGGACAGATGGTAATGGCATTAACTAAGACGCATCGTGACCAAGATATGGACAAAAGTTGTTAACACTTAAAGCAGATAATATTGTAAATTGTATGTTTACAGAATTTCCATGAAGCTGTCTTAAAAGTGCTGGGAGATGAGTATGACAGTGATCACGAAGAAACAAAACTCAAGGAAGGACTGAAAGAAATCCCAGAAATCTATAATCTACACCAAGAAATACTAGGAGAACTGGAAGAAAAAGTTCTTAACTGGTAAATATAATTAGATGGGACTTTGAATGACACTTAAGGCAGTATTCCTACTCCAGTGTTTAGAAAGTTTCAGAAAACACCTTCTCTTCAGAAGTTTTAGACAATCAAATATAAGTGTGATACAGTTTGCTTATTTACCTGCTTTATCCTAAAATATAAAACCTTTACATAATGCTTGTTATCAGGTCAGTACTAAGTAGTTTCTCTGAATGTGGGCAAATTCTGTTATGCTGTATGCAAAATTAGGCAGACTTTAGCTGCTCACTGATAATCCACCACCAATCCTAATATTATTTTGTATTTCTTTTATTTTTATCTTTTATTATTATTGTTGTTGTTGTTGTTTTTAATGTTTTTATTTGTAATGTTGGTCTGTGACCGTAATAAAAAATGATTGATATATAAGGCCTGTTAGAAAAACGTGCATTACACAGAACCAATCCTGATCAAGAGTTATGTATTTAGCTATTAAAACACAGTAGTTTCATCTTCAGTAAATCCTAGGTAATTTTTCTCTGTCATTCAGCTACTGTTTCATTTTGTTGGAAAGTTACGATTCCAACATAAGGAAGTATATAGGTCCCTTCTATGCCTATGAGCAAGAATCACACTAAATCAGAAAAAAATAACATGAATATACAAGCTTTTTAACTATTTTGTTTGTTAAGTTTGTTGCATTTATAAAGAAACACAAACTACCAGCCATATCTTATAGCTTACCAACTATTTGACCATCCCTTACTGCACTGCCTAGCAGGAATCAGAACCAACTGGGACTTTATCAAACTGGAGCATTACAAGATATGTGGATTTACTATTGGAACAAAAGCCAATCTTTATGAGTTCAATTTCTGGTTAGTGTCATTCTAAAGTCCTGATGAAAAAGATTATCTAGCTAAATTAAGTATGGAGAATTTTCTATTCCTTTTTTCCCCTTTATTCTCAATGGTTTTAGGGAAGAACACCAGAAAGTGGCTGATATTTTCCTCTCCAGAGAATCAGGATTTAATCACCACACAACTTACATCATGCAGTTTGATAGGAATTTGGCTTTGCTGGATGATGTTCGCCTTAAATCCTCCCAGCTGGATGCTATCATTAAAGAGTTTGAGGTAAAGTCTCTTTGTGTTTGTATGTCATGTTGTTTTATTATTGTAGTTCTACTATTATCTCTCTTGTTCTTTCCCTTCTTCCCTCTCTAAAATGACTAAGAGTTTGGAGCATGGAAGTTGATATTAGCGATAATTCAATTCAAGAATGGCTTTAAGAAGAAAGTAAACCAGGAAGAGTACAAATACATATTAAGGCTATGTGGGGAGAGGAGGAGGAGGAGGAGGAGGAGGAGAGGAGGAGGAGGAAGAGGAGGAGGAGGAGAAGCAGAAGCAGAAGCAGAAGCAGAAG